GTTGATGCCTGGTGGGAGGACGAGTATGGGGCGGCCAGATTCATTTGTTTCTCACTGAACCGTGTACTTAGACCTACATGATATTATCTCCACAGTAATCTACACAACAAAAAGTAGATATAAGTCTGTCTACCCACTGAATAAGGCCAACATGTCTTTGCGAAGCACCGAGAAGTACCCTCACCGCTACTTTCACGCAGATTTAAATATATGCACACACACATTTATATATATATATATATATATCCTCACGAATAGGCACGAATAAGCGATGCTTCAAACATATCTCCACATACAGGAATTTTCACACCGCGACAGGCACGGTCATTTGTCTGTGCCTAAGGCATGCTCTTTTAAACAAATCCAAGTAAGTAAAACTATCCAAATAGATTTTGACTATTTCCTTCACCTGTCGACCTGTATCGTTTGATGAGGTTAACGGTTCAAGATACAAACAAAACCAATGTTTATGGTGCCCAAAACTACATCAGTCAGGTACACCGAACCTCGTGGCAATATAAGGACTATTGAAAAGACCTAGGTACAAACATTTTTCTGTACCTAACCGTGTTGTCAGCATAGAAAGCCTTGGCCAATGTAAGCCCCCAATCTACCAAAACATCTGGCCCACCAAAGGTGCCTTCGTCTGGGATGCCAAGGCAACCTGGTCGGAGGACTGGGGCGGCAGGACTGATTTCTTTTTCATTGACCGGTGGTCCTCCCAAGTCATTGATCTCAAGGCCCATGAGGCAAAGGATTCTATGCTGTATGTTTGTGCATGCACCAGTTTATCCTTATGAATAAACATGGCTACCTGCCATTTCTACATGTAGGCCGTACTGGACCTACCTAGGCACAAACATGTGTCTGTACCTAGCCATGCTACCCTGAAAGAAAACATTGAAAATTTCTTCTGATGCATTGAAGTAGTCTTTATTGGATTGCCACCATCCAGAGGTTTTATTGGAAGAACATCTCCATATTCAAGTGCAAAAACAAGGGTGCCTGCAGGGACGAGCCCATGAACAGATACATTCGGTACATTGAACCCTGCAGCACTTAAAGTCATTGAAAACACCTAGGTACATCCATTTGTCTGTGCCTCATCCGGCTGTGATCATAGAAAGCCTTGGCTGCTCTAAGCCTGGCCCACCAAATTCGCCTTCCTTTGAAGAACAGGGTGGTTGGATCGCTAGCTTCTGCAGGATGATGCTGATTCCTGATGGGAGGACGGGCATGGGGCGGCTAGATTGACTTGTTTCTCACTGAACCGTGTATTTAGACCTACACGATATCAGCTCCACACTAATCTACACAACAAAAAGTAGATATAAGTCTGTCTACCCACAAGAAAAAACAAACATGTCTTTGCGAAGCACCATGAAGTACCCTCACCGCTACTTTCACGCAGATTTAAATACACACACAGAGAGAGAGATATATATATATATATGTATATCCTCACGAATAAGCACGAATAAGCGATGCTTCAAACATATTTCCACATACAGGAGTTTCCACACCGCGCTAGGCACAGTCATGTGTCTGTGCCAAAGGCATGCTCTTTTAAACAAATCCAAGTCAAACTATCCAAATAGATTTTGACTAATTAATTCCTTCACCTGTCGACCTGTATCGTTTGATGAGGTTAATGGGTCAAATATACAAACAAAACCAATGTCCATGGTGCCCAAAACTACATCAATCAGGTGCACCGAACCTTGTGGCAATATATGGGCCATTGAAAAGACCTAGGTACAAACATTTTTTTGTACCTAACCGCGTTGTGAGCATAGAAAGCCTTGGCCAATGTAAGCCTCCAATCTACAAAAACATCTGGCCCACCAAAGGTGCCTTCGTCGGGGATGCCAAGGCAACCTGGTCGGAGGACTGGGGCGGCAGGACTGATTTCTTTTTCATTGACCTGTGGTCCTCCCCCAAGTCATTGAACTCAAGGCCCATGAGACAAAGGATTCTATGCTGTATGTTTGTGCATGCACCAGTTCATCCTTATGAATAAACATGGCTACCTGCCATTTCTACATGTAGGCCTTACAGGACCTACCTAGGCACAAACATGTGTCTGTACCTAGCCACGCTACCCTGACAGAAACCATTGAAAATTTCTTCTGATACATTGAAATAGTCTTTATTGGATTGTCACCATCCAGAGGTTTTATTGGAAGAACATCTCCATATTCAAGTGCAAAAACAAGGGTGCCTGCAGGGACGAACCCATGAACAGATACATTCGGTACATTGAACCCTGCAGCACTTAAAGTCATTGAAAACACCTAGGTACATCCATTTGTCTGTGCCTAATCCTGTTGTGATCATAGAAAGCCTTGGCTGCTCTAAGCCTGGCCCACCAAACTCGCCTTCCTTTGAAGAACAGTGCGGTTGGATCGCTAGCTTCTGCAGGACGATGTTGATGCCTGGTAGGAGGACGGGTAGGAATGGAATCCCAACGAGAGGATTCCCCTGTACGATGGGTTGGCAGCATGGAACCCTACACATCTTCAATCTTTCACAAACGAGAAGAACACCCTCCCAAATCGTAAGGGGCCAGTCTCACCTGGGAAGTCCCTGACTTCTCATTGGGAATTTGGAAAGCAATTTTGAATTTGTAAGGGAGGTTTTGAATTCGTATGGGGGGGTGTTCTTCCAACCCCTGCCTTGCGAATTCAAAAGCACCTGCACCGTGTGGTTACAAAACTGTTTTTTGAATTTGCACGGAAACTTCTTTTAACCCCCCGAGTTACAGATTCAAAAACATCATACAACTGAACAGTGGTTCCAGAAAGCCTCTTGAAAATTTGACACGTTCATTTCATGCCCAAGTTCTGCAACTTTATTTGGCACAGCTCTTTTGAATATGATCGACCGTCTGGTTTGGAAAATGACAAGTATCCATCATGAGCTCAAGCAAGCCACGCGCCCACCAAACCTCGAAGAAGTTCTGCAGGGATCCACTGCAGAGGACCCCGTACAAGGCTGAGATGCATCTCCTGCGCGTGCCAACTTGGGAGAGCCAATCCCAAGTTGGAGAATATGAACACGATCCCAACCAGCATGAAACCTGTTTGAGGAAGCATTACGGCACAACAAAAAGTGTCTGCCTAGCATGTGGTCTCCAAGAAACAATGTCAACAAACTGTTCTGGTACTGGCAACCAGGCTGACCGTCTAGTTACAACAACGACACTAACTCATATAGCACTTGTTCTCACGGCACCCAAACTCACTCGATGTAATGACGCAACACATACAATGGAAGAAGTCTCGGTGCTTAAAGTCAGTGCAGTAGCACTGCAAGTATATGAACAAGTGTCTGGGGAGATCTGGTTTGAAAATCCCAAAACACCTTGATATACATAGCAAGTTTCCGTGGCAAACCTGAAGATAACAAATTGGGAAAAAAGGCACCACAAGACCATGCAGGGCGCCATTTTATCCGCTCTTGCTTGGTTGTTCCACCCAAGCAGCCAGTCAGGCAAAAACAGCAACACGACCTGCATCAAAATGGCCATTGTTTGGCTAATGTATCACAGCTTCACACCGGCTTCACCGCGGCTGCGGCTCACTCGGACTGGGCGCTTCAAGCTGTTCGATTGCTGCCTTGATCTTTTTCACCTCCCCCGAGTGGAAATCCAAGGACTCCGCCAGCCTGGCACAATGCAAAGAAATAGGCACCCCCTCTATACAGTTTGTCTCAGTTGCAAATCAGACCGACCACAAATTGATTGGGACCCATCTGCACATAGCGCAAAAACCGGGAGGAAACCTCCAACAAACTGCACATGTTCCCAATTCCCATGCTTCAGCAGGCCCCATGCAGTGAAGGCACCCTGTCAGTGAGCGCAACATCATTTTACCTACCCCAGTATGCCGGCCAAGCAAGACATGGTTAAAAATAGTTACTTCGTGTGATCCCCACCATGACATTTATAGATTTTCTTACTGGCAAATCTTCTGGCATTCTATCTGACATATCTTCTGGCATTCTATCTGGCACTGTATCTGGCATATCTTCTGGCATATGTTCTGGCACTCTATCTGGCAAATCTTCTGGCATTCTATCTGGCATTCTATCTGGCATATCTTCTGGCATTCTATCTGACATATCTTCTGGCATTCTATCTGGCATATCTTCTGGCATATATTCTGACATATCCTCTGGCATTCTATCTGGAATATCTTCTGGCATATGTTCTGGCATATATTCTGACATATCTTCTGGCATTCTATCTGGCATTCTATCTGGCATATCTTGTGGCATATGTTCTGGCATATCTTCTGGCATATCTTCTGGCATTCTATCTGACATATCTTCTGGCATTCTATCTGGCACTGTATCTGGCATATCTTCTGGCATATGTTCTGGCACTCTATCTGGCAAATCTTCTGGCATTCTATCTGACATATCTTCTGGCATTCTATCTGGCATTCTATCTGGCATATCTTGGCATTCTATCTGGCATTCTATCTGGCATATCTTCTGGCCGTTGAGGTCCAGCGGTGCACACTGAGCTGGGCAGGTCCCAGGTTGAGGTCCAGCGGTGCACACTGAGCTGGGAAGGTCCCAGGTTGAGGTCCAGCGGTGCACACTGAGCTGGGAAGGCCGCAGGTTGAGGGCCAGCGATGCACACTGAGCTGTTTGGTCCCAGGTTGAGGTCCAGCGGTGCACACTGAGCTGGGAAGTTGGCAAAGAGCTTGGCGCAGAGAGTCGGCGAAGAGAGTTGGCAAAGAGCTGGGCGAAGAGTTGGCAAGGCGGAAGGAAGTGCAGGTGGAAGTTGATGCAGACATGGTCGAGGAGAAACTGGAGGAGGAGGCGAGGAGGAGGACGAGGAGGAAGAGGACAGCTAGTCGAGGAGGAGGAGGACGAGGAGGAGGACGAGGACGCGGAGGAAGAGCGCTCTGATAAAATCTAACAACCCTCACCTGGCAGGTGGGGAATAATGAAAAGCCTTGCCAGTATCGGTTGCCCATTCAACATAGAATTTAAAACATGCTCGCTATGTTTCTCTCCAAGTCCCTGCGCCTCTTGCAAGTATCATCCAACTCGACATTGTTCTTGATCTCGTGATACTTCCCCACTGGCTGCTCTTTCTGGAGGCAACGATCTGTCAAGGAGAAAGAAGCCACCGTCACGTGGAGAGGAGCCGCTTTGAGTTTCTCCAAATCCTTCGGCACCCAAATTGAAGACATCCCTGGAATGTGCTGCAAGGTCGATGCCACATCGTAACAGGAGATCTTGAGCGTTAGGATATGATGCTGCTCCACCGCTTTCTTTTCGTCCAGAATGCTCTGGAGCAACGCGCATGCAAACACATCTTCAAACATAGGGATGGTGTCACCGTTGCCCATCATGTTGGCAATCTTGTGCCCAGCTTGCCTGTCCCACCAGGGCACCAACTAAGGTCAGATTGTCGCACAACATGGCATACATCACGAGATGGTATTTGTGGGAGAAAACCCCTGAAACTAAGTGACTATGACGAACTGCCATGTGATGTTCATTCTATCTACTCGCCCCCAACCAAAGATTTTCAGCAAGCATTTCTGTTTCAAACGAACCTTTGGTGAATGAGATTTGCATACAGTACTTGTGAAAAAAGCGGCCGCAAGTGTTCAATGAAAACAAACTATTATCGCATCATCGACGTCAATCATTCACCGTCTCCCCTCGGGGTACTCTCACCGTGTGTATCTCTGTTGTAGATATGACAGCAGTACAAGCAGTGGCACCTTCAATTCTGTTCGGTTTCTGTTTGGCTCTTGCACGATCAAAACCCTTCACTGTGTCACATGTACACGTTGTGAAAAGTTACCGGGCCCAATACCGTACTGGAACAGAAGTAATTAAAGCTTTACCAGTAGTACCGCACAAGGCGGTGGCGGAAGTTTCAAAAATAGGAAACCTATAGGAGAGCTTGGTTGTTGTGAATCAGGGATGGCAGAGCGAAGCCACTGATGGACTGAAAGGTGCCTGAGGTCTCCTCTCTTTCTCTCTCTTCTCTGACTATCTACCTACCTACCTACCTACCTACCTATCTTCTATGTATCTATCTATCGATCTATCTATCTATCTCTCTCTCTCACTCTTTCATCTAGTTACCTATCTATCTATCTATCTCTCTCTCTCTCTCTCTTTCTTTCATCTGTCTATCTGTCTAGCTGTCTATCTGTCTATCTATCCATCTATCTATCTGTCTATCTGTCTACCTGTCTATCTGTGGTGCAGTGTCATTCAGTGTAGTGTAATGTAGTGTAGCGTAGTGGAGTGTAGTGGAATGTAGTGTAGTGTAATGTAGTGTAGTGTAATTTCCTGTAGTGGAGTGTAGTTGTGTAGCCGTAGTTGTAGTTGTAGTGTAGTGGAGCGTAGTGTAGTGTAATGTAGTGAAGTGTAGTGGAAGGTAGTGTAGTGTAATGTAGTGTAGTGGAGTGTAGTGTAGTGTAATGTAGTGTAGTGTAGTGTAGTGGTAGTGTAGTGGAGCGTAGTGTAGGTGGAGTGTAGTGTAGTGTAATGTAGTGTAGTGTAGTGAAGCGAAGCGACATCTGAACCTCCAAAAGTGGTCCGAACCCCTGGTGTTTTTAACATTATGACTTCCAAATGTGCTTTGCGCCACAACGGCGTGCACTTTTTCGACATCTGAAACTCCAAAAGTGGTCCGAACCCCTGGTGTTTTTAACATTTTGACTTCCAAATGTGCTTCCCCCACAACGGCGTGCACTTTTTCGAGATCTGAACTTCCAAACGTGGTGCGAGAATGGTGTGCTTTCTACATTTTGACTTCGAATTGGTTTGCGCCACAACGGCGTGCACTTTTTCGACATCGCAACTTCCAAAAGTGGTCCGACCATGGTGTGTTTTGTACATTTTGACTTGAAAATGTGCTTCGCGCCACAACGGCGTGCACTTTTTCGACATCGCAACTTCCAAACGTGGTCCGACGCTGGTGTGCTTTGTACATTTTGACTTGGAACTGTGCTTCGCGCCACAACGGCGTGCACTTTTTCGACATCGTTACTTCCAAAAGTGATCCGATCATGGTGTGCTTTGTACATTTTGACTTGGAAATGTGCTTCGCGCCACAACGGCGTGCAATTTTTCATCTCTCATCTGGCCAGCTGGCTCCGCACCCGCCGCTTTAGCGAGCCTACTTTTCGACCCTCCGGAGCCACAAATCATTGGAAAAACACAGTGAATCGCGACTTTCCTACCTTTTCGCGCATCTTACTCTTTCTCTTCTACTCTTATCTCTTCTAATCTTTCTCTTCTCTCGGCCTCTTCCCTGCTCTGCTTTTCATCTGTCCATATTGTCGGAAGTTTGACTTCTAAACTTCCTTCGATTAACTTTTCTCACCGGGGTGCTTGCGAACCAGGTTCCCCATTTCTCTGTGCTCGAAAAGGTCCAAGATGTAGGCGCGGGCCTCCCTGGGGGCTGCAATGATCCGAGCCGCCATGTCCCCACTGACACCGATGTAGAATGTCCAAACTGGAGGTGCAGGCATCTTGCTGGGCTCAACGCTGGCCAGATTTTGTTCTGTCACGTCGAGACGGGCTTTGGATGCCATTGAGCTACCCCATCTGGGGTCCAGAGGGTTCCAATCCTGAATCTCAAATCCGGCTCCAACCTGCTTCAGCTTCCCGTTCTTCAAATCCAGGACGAAATGATCTTCTGGCAAGACCAATGTGAACACGACCCATGTCTTGTCGGCGAGAAGCAAGTCAAAGCATTCTTCGGTTGGTGGTAATTTTTTCCTGATGTGATCTGGATCAGATAATGATGTTCCCAGAGTACGCGCCTTCTGGCGTAGCGCATGCTTGATGGCATCCGCCGGTGCACGCTGGGTGAGAAGAGATCTTGCTGGCGCCACCTACCAAAGCTCCAACCCCTTTGACGCCCCGCGCAAAAAGGAACAAATAGTTTCACATGAGCTCTACTGCATACCCACAGCAAGTTGGCGCCATTGCTACAGCTAACATGCAAATTTGTGTGCTGTACACACACCTGCCAGCTGCCCAGCTGCCCAATGACAAAAATTACTTTACTTCGAGTTATCCCCACCATGACATTTATACGTTTTGTTACTGGCAAATCTTCTAGCATTCTATCTGACATATCTTCTGGCATTTTATCTGGCATATCTTCTGGCAATCTATCTGGCATATCTTCTGGCATTCTACCTGGCATATCTTCTGCAATATGTTCTGGCATATCTTCTGGCATATCTTCAGGCAAATCTTCTGGCATTCTATCTGGCAAATCTTCTGGCATTCTATCTGGCATATCTTCTGGCATTCTATCTGGCATATCTTCTGGCATTCTATCTGACATATCTTCTGGCATTCTATCTGACATATCTTCTGGCATTCTATCTGACGTTCCATCTGGCATATCTTCTGGCATTCTATCTGGCATTCTACCTGACACTCTATCTGTCATATCTTCTGGCATATCTTCTGGCAGTCTATCTGGCATATCTTCTGGCATATCTTCTGACATTCTATCTGGCATTCTATCTGGCAAATCGTCTGGCTTCTATCTGGCAAACATTCTGGCAAATCTTTATCTGGCATACCTTCTGGCATTTATCTGACATTCTATCTGGCATACCTTCTGGCAGTCTATCTGGCATATCTTCTGGCATTCTATCTGGCATATTTTCTGGCATTTTATCTGGCATATCTTCTGGCTTCTATCTGACATGCTATCTGGCGTTCTATCTGGCATATCTTCTGGCATTCTATCTGGCATTCTATCTGGCATATCTTATGGCATTTTATCTGGCATACCTTCTGGCATTCTATCTGACATTCTATGTGGCATATTTTCTGGCATTCTATCTGGCCGTTGAGGCCCAGCGGTGCCCACTGAGCTCGGAAGGTCCCAGTTTGAGGTCCAGCGGTGCCCACTGAGCTCTGAAGGTCCCAGGTTGAGGTCCAGCGGTGCCCACTGGTCCGGAAGCCGGCAGTTGAGGTCCAGCGGTGCCCACTGCGCTCAGAACCTGGCTGTTGAGGTCCAGCCGTGCCCACTCAGATCGGAAGCCAGCAGTTGAGGTCCAGCAGGCCCACTGCGCGCAGAAGTTGGCGAAGAGATTGGCAAAGAGTTGGCAAGGCGGAAGTGGACATGGAAGTGGATGCAGAGGTGGTGGAGGAGAAACTGGAGGACGAGGAGGAGGAAGAGGAGGAGGAGGCGGAGGAGGAGGAGGAGGAGAAGGAGGCGGAAAAGGAGGAGGAGGAGGCGAACAGCTCTGATAAAATCTAACAACCCTCACCTGGCAGGTGGGAAAAAACATTTCAGCGCACGATGACCAACCTTGCCAGGGTTTTTGACACACTTCTCAAAGTTCTCATCGGAAACAGCAGCAAAGCCCAAAGACACCATTGCCATGGCCCTCAAAAGCACGATGAAAGGAGCCGTGAATCCTTGATTGGAAATGCTATGGGCTTACTCAAACATCTTTGCACACGCCCCTGCCCAGTGGAGCAACAAAAAAACTCTTCTAGGTCATGCAAGTCACTGCTTGCAGCAGAAACCAATAATTTCGCCCTGCAAGAACCAATGGCCAAACATCTTGCCTCTGCTACCTGGTCATCTAGCAAAAAAATGCGCCAAAATGTCTGTAGGTGCAAACCTGCGGCTTGTATCTGAACAACCCTGTAGGACATGCATACGCCGTGTTCATCCTAAAGATATGCTCATACATTGCTACAGTGTTCTCATACTTGTGTAAAAAACATTGATGAAATAAGAACATCCATAAAATATAAACAATACATAAATTCAGAAACATGAATAAAGAAGGAAAGGGAGAAAACAAAAAGGGACTAGACAGATGCCCCTGCAAACAAACCCGAGACAGGTTGTATATCCAACCAAGAGGCAAATACAGGGATCATGGAAAATGCCTAGGCGCAACCGCTTGTGTGTGCCTAAAATGTTTTGACCCTAAACAAACAATTGCCACTGTAAGTGCCCACTGGTATTGAATCCCAAGGACAAGTAAAGGGGCCTACCCAAACCCATCTGACCCATCCGAGTACTTCTTCACCTTGTGCTACATCCAATTCTTCAAAGACCGTTTTGTCTGAATACCGATACTTCCCTCAGAAGGTCGACCACAGCTAGCCCCTTGAATCCAGTAGCTGGAAAAAGAAAGGGTGCGAAATATCGCCCTGCAGGATTCCACAAACCCCCGCTACAATACACAACCGGCAGTCGTGCATCACAGGCATTCTTATATTAAATAAATAAATAAATAAATAGATATATATATATATATATATATAAAAATTACAATATATGATAGATACTTTTTATTTACATTATATATGAAATATATATCACTAATATTATGTATAATAAATATATATATATTAATAAATATTATATATATTTTAAATATTATATATGCATATTGAATATGTTATATATTAAATATATTATATATATATTAACTAAATAGCATTAAATATAATAATGTAAATAGTTTATTTTATATGTAACATATATAATATATATTAAAAATGTTTTGTATATGATCTACATTATATTTATTATATATTATATATTATCTTACGGTTTATTTGGACGACAGACATATACATATATGGTAGCAGTCGCAATGTGCACTCTTGGTGCAGGATTGTTCCTGGAAGGCGACCAGGCGAAAATTGTAAAGACCAATACCCTGGCCCATGGCAGCTAGCAGGGTCCCAGGGCATTTCTGGCCAAGATATGGTGTGCCGCGCGCCAAAACGTGGACTGGAGGGAACATGTTTGATTGATTTGAATGCGGGTATTTCTTTGATCTTTTCAGTTCAAATGGGCGAGCTAAAGAACCCCAGAAGACACGAGACCAGAGGCTAGTTATATATTTTTCCATATTGGGAATAATAATCCCAACTGACTAATATTTTTCAGAGGGGTTGAAACCACTAACCAGCCAGTGTATTCCCATGATTCATGGTTGATCTAATCCCTGTTGGTGACATTTCTAGAATCGTCCAAAACTGGACTGGCTCAAGCGGGCGATCATCACAGATGTGGGGCTGGATCGGTTTGATTCTGCCGATCTTCAAAGATTCAAAGTGATATTCACGTGCGTGATTGTCAAAAAGGGCCTCAGTTCATCTCAGTTCTATAGGTTTGTTCCAATTAAAATTCATACCAAATGACAGTGTTTGTCAAAAAGGACCTCAGTTCTATAGGTTTGTTCCAATTGTATACATATATATATGTAATTATATATACACATAAAACTCATACCAAATGAAAGTCAGGGGTCTCCAAGATTGATAGCGTTTGATCTTCATTGCCGTGTCAGGTCGTGTGCCTCTGTCGAGATTCTATGGCGGGACAACCAAGTGGAACCATTGCATGGCGGTTGACACAGGGCTTCCCCAAGAAAAAACTATGTGAGGATGGGTCAAAATCGTTTGATTTTTTGAATTGGGGAGTCAAAACCATCCACTTCGAAGTTCTTTTCTAATTCGAACAGAAGGCACGTTCTTTTTTGGTTTTGATCCTGTTCGTTTTTTGGGGCTGCTAACCGTTACCCAACTCGGGAACATCATTTTTACGAGATCTGGGGATGTGCAGAAGGTGAGAGGAATGTGGGAAATGGGGATCATGAATCTGGGTAAATTATAACGACCTCACTACGACCTCACTGGGAATCATGTTTAGTAAGGGAAATCATCCCCAAATGGGCTTAATTCAGGTTAGTGAATTATTATAATTTACCCAGATGAATAAACACAACTCTGAAAAGATGGTAAACTTTAAAAGACGGGTCCACCTCTTCATCAAGGGGTAAGCATTTGAGCCGACCCTTGCCCGAGACGTCCTGTCTTGGAAGAGGAGCCCCATTGACCAATGACCAAAACTTTGAATGGTTGTTGTGAAAGGGGGTTTCCTTTAAAGTGGATAGAACTACAGAAATCTCCAGCATGTATGGAATCCACCACTTCATTTGCTTGTTGACCTTCTTGTTGTCTTCGGTTCTTGTGCAGTTCCAAGAATTTCTACCCTCTGGTAATTTAACATAACTATGGAAAATCACCATTTTTAATGGGAAAATCCACTATAAATGGCCATTTTCAATAGCTATGTTAAATTACCAGAGGGTAAGACATATTCCGTCCACTGGTTGTCCACTAGCTGCATTGCCAATGTAACCATCCCCTCTGGACTTTGTGCTGTCATGTGCTTACCATATTTGGGATGATTTACCCCTCACCACTCACCATCACTTACCAATTATATCAAATTATATGGTTCTAAAAGGTTTTCTATAACCAAATGGGGGTACCCCGAAAATAGTTTGTCTACTTCATTCCCCCCAAAAAAATGGATACTTAGGAAACCTCCGAATCATCCATTTTCATCCAAAGCCATATGGATCCCTTCATAGCCAAGCCGATCTCGATCAAGGCACAGGCTTGGAGGCGGATTGGCGTTTCGCCGAGTCCGAGGCCCTCGTGCCGGTCGTGCCGGGTCTTGGGTGACGAAAAATGCCGGGGACCGCCGGTGAAATTATGGGAAGATCGCCGGTATCAAAAAACCGATGGGAAAATCATGGAAAATCATCCAGAATTTAGGATAGCCAGATGATCATTAGACACTGTTAGACCCCAAAAATGGGGAAAAAAAATGGAAAATCCATTAATTAATCCATTCAAAAGCAGAAATATAGGAATGGTGGTAGTCTGGATTTTTTATTGATCACGACCTCACGTCGCGATGTCATTGGAATGATGGTTAGGATTGGGGGGAATCCTCCCCAAATGAACTTTTCAAGGGTGGTTTGATTTATCAAGTAAAGGGGTGATTTTCCAGCAGGCTAAGTTTGATGATCACAGGGAAATTAATTACCTATAATAGTAATAACAACCTCATATCTGGATATGTGGCCAACCAGTTTAGTGGCTTAACCAGCAACAACTGAGAAAATTGGGATTTAATGGTGACCTATTTACACCATATAATATGTAGTAAGGATGTAGTGGAATATATATATATATGAATATAGTGGGATGTAGCAGGGATAATAAGTAGCAATAATTAGCAAACCATTATATAGATATGTATTACATTATTACCAAATGACGGTGCTATGTGATGTGGGATGTTCACTCACAAGAATAGGGATGTACTGCGATATCATCAACAAGTTTTGGGGTCTATGTTGTTTTGTCCAAAACTGTGGTATACCCTCAAGATTGCTATTGTTCTACAGGACAAACATATGATATCATATGATCATGTATTGGATTTGGGGCCATGGAAAATGAGCCATGTGTAGACAATGTTGGATGATGACAGGGTACCCTCTGGTAAACGTTTACATAGCGAACTGGAAAGATCCACCATTATTAATGGGAAAACTCACTATTTCTATGGCCATGTTCAATAGCTATGTGGCTGTTTACCAGAGGGTATCATATCATTAACCATTATTATAACCATTATTATCCATTATTCACCATCCATTCACCATGCACCACTATTAACTATGGGAAGTTCAGGAAGTTCAGAGGCAGCCACATTGCGGACAATTCCGGCACGAGTCCAGGCGTATTTGCGTGAGCTGGGCGCCCTTGATGAAAGCAGTCGCACCAAACAGGCCCCTTGCGATGGGTGGGCGATGGGCGATGGGCGATGGCAGTGATACCATGATTCGCGTTGGTCAAAATACTGTTAGTTCGTATCTTTGGGTGACAACAGGTGGCTGATTTTGATATATATATATATACACTATATATATACTATATATACACATACTATATCATATCATAGTTTTATATATATACACAGATATAGTATTACAGATATATACACATTATATATATATATACACATGTTATATGGTCCCGTGTCCTGCCATTATTTCCCCCATGACCTTTTCAGTCCGTGTTGATCTGGGACCTCATGGTGGGATGGTATCCATTGGTATCCATTGGTTGCGCTGGCGGTCTCCAAATGCTTTCACTATAGTATTACTTAGTGATAATAATCAACTATAGTATAGTGAAAGTATATCTATTTACTATAATTGTATAATATGAGGTAATAACAATACAATTCACCATACTATCAATATTGATAATAATCAACTATAGTATATCTATTTACATTATCACTAGTATATACTATATGATGTGGGTACAACAAGAATAAACTATCCCCCAAATCACCATAAATAGGCGATATAAACCATTCTTGTTTTAACCACATTAATTATAATTATATGTTTACGGTCCATTCCATTTTGGGCGTCGCTCCCATCAGATGGACGCACCATGGTGCAACTTGGCAGGTGATTATCCCCAACTACATCCAGGCGGCTTCCAACTGCATCGCAGCCTGGTTCTTTCAACGAAACGCGGATCTTCAAACAGTAAACACTACATGAGCTTGATGTATGCGCATATTAGGGAGTTTCCAATCCATGGGGGTACCCCAAGTGGATGGTTTAAAAGAGAAAATCCTATTAACATGGATAGGGGTACCCCCATTTATGGAACCCCCCATATGTAAGTAACCAGGTTGTTCATGGCTATTCTATGTTATTCTATAGATATTGAATGTACATGTCGTCTATACATGATCTTTTCTGGAGTCGCACCGGATCCAAGGTAGCTACCAATCACTACATGGTGTGCTGCCACAACGACGCCAGGCTTTTCTGCTTAGCATGCCAGTTGATGAGATCAAAAGTCAAACGTGTGGCTTGTATGTTCTGAAATTAGCATGTGCTCGAAATTCTATCTGTATATATTCTTGCTTTCAGTCGATTGATATTTTGCCATGATAATCCCCAATCAATGTCTATTTTTGGGGCTTCAAACCAACCACCGGCCTATTTGATGATCAGCCAAGGATTGCAATCCGCTGCTGGCCGAAATTGAGCAAGCCATTCACGCGCCCTTTGCAGCCCCGGAGCAGCCACTGGGTTTCAGCCAGGAATGAGCGGCCAACTTACGGAAGGATTCGAGAAAATACGGAAGAAAGACAGGGTTGCTCCAACCTATTAATTTGGATAAGTTGTCATGACCTCACCACGAATTCAAAAGTAGCCTTTTTTCGGGTTTGTGAATTCCTTGTATAACAATGATCCAGATCAATGAATCATCGCCACAGGGAGAGGAATTGGTCTTGTTTATCTCCTTCTTTACACATTTCTTTGCTTCGTATCTAAGATTTTGGGAGCCCTGAAAAACAGGGGGTTTTAGCTGATTGTTGGCTACTTCTGACTTGAAATTGCTACGAGATCATAACGAATCTTTGCCCAGTGTTTTTGGCACACGCCGTGACATTCAATAGACATTCTTACAGGGATTCAGATCAACTCCACGCCAAAAAACTGAATGCCCAAATCCTCCAAGACCTCGCTCAAGGAGATAGAATACGTTATAAAACACGTGTTTTTGTTCCAAAATCCCCCAGTTTGTCATGTGTTTCTCTATTAAATGACGATAGTCATTATAGTCATTTGGAGGTTTCCAATCCATGGGGGTACCGCGAAATCATTTAAATTGGGATTTTCCATTATAAATTGGTTTTAAATACCATCCAGCTATTGGGGTACCCCCATGGATTGGAACCCCCCCATGAAGTGAGGCTGTTGGAGGTCGTGAAGAACATGACGACCATGACTTCTTTGGAGGCCATGGCGGCTGCCATGTGGGTTTCCAATCCATGGAGGTACCCCAATAGCTAGATGGTTTACGGTGGAAAATCCAATTTAAATGATTTTAAATGGATGATGGGGAGGTACCCCCATGGGCCCATGGATTGGAAACCTCCACATGACTTCTAGGTGGTCACTGAAGTTGGTATGGACATTAGTCAACCTGTAGGAAAAGCGGTTCAATTGTCACTTCAAGCCCCAAAGTTACTTTCAGGAAGTCTGTCGGCGTTCGAAACCGACGCTACTTTGGTTTTATATCTTTGGATGTGTGATATGTCTATGACTTGTTGTGAGATGGTTGGCAGCACCACGTCAATGTCTGTGGGATATTCCATGACCTCTGCAGAAGGCAGTTGTTTATGATTCTGGTTGCTATCCGCATCTTTGTTGCTTAACATCACACATGATTTTTGTTTGGCCCAAATTCGTGCTGAAGTCAAATGATGTTTGCTTGTGCTGAATATCTGAAATGCGTTCTTGGAAAGTCACTGACAGCTGGTAATAAGCCCTTATTAGTGGTTGTTGGCGTTCAGATTCGCCCTCGAGAAATCCAATCATCAGCTGGGGGATCACCTCAAGAAGGGGGTATCCCAACTATCCAATTCTCTTGGTGAAAGAACCATTCTAAACTCATATTTCAGATGCGCTGGTTAAATATTCTTGCCCCATTGCATTAGATCCTTTTATATCATGTCCCATTCAAATATAATATATATTATATATATAACTATAATATTTATTATTATATAAATATAACTATATATATATGTATAAATAATTATATATATATACAATTATATGTATTTATGTATAAAATTATATATATATATATATCTATATACGCACAGTGCCTGGGGAAGATGAAGAACATTCAATTGGAAAGATGAAGAAGAAGCTAAATTCCCATCCCCGTTAAACTTTACATTCATTGGGAAGATGAAGAAGAAACTAAATTGCCAGCTTCAATTTACATTCCACGCTGTCGTTCTGCCGCTCTGGGCAAAGCCCAGGCATTTACCATATACATATGATATATACATATGCAATTATATGCATATACATATATATATACCCCTATGTGAATGGGTACAATCATTACTATAATCAACAATCAACCATCAATGATCAGTCCCTTACGTGTCATCATCAAAAGCCCCAAATAGGCATGGCTGATGATTCTCTTAAAAAAATCACTTAAGTATTTAACATATATTAGAATACAAATCATATTATATACATATCAGAATCATTAGAAGATCGCCACTTGACGCCGTCAGCTGCTAGGTGGAACACCCCGCACGCTTGGATAGCACCCTGCTGGCGCAGTTGCGACAGATTGCGGCCTCCCACAACGGGGAGGTCACCGGGTGGGTCACCGAAGTGGAAGGGGATTTGCATGACTATTACCCTCTGGTAAATAGAAATAGACCCTGAAAAACACCAATGTTTAATGGAAACTAATCTTCCAAATCCTATCTGGCAGGGTCTATGTTAATTTACCAGGTAGACTATAGTCATGTATAGTCGTAATATGTTATGCTAGTAATTAAGAATCATTGGTAATCATCGAGAATCAGTATATATATGACAATAGTGATGGGATGTTTTGGGGACTAGTAGTCGTGATGATAATCATCATCGATAATCATAAATCATATCCGCTTGTTTGTAGGTATCCCCTATTTTTGGGCAAACCCAGAATGTATACTAATTTACGAATATATACTAATGACATTAAAAATATTCATTGTCACGTTTAGTAAGATAGTTATGATAGTTATGAGTAGTGCTTCGTGGCTTCGCCTTTTTAAACAGCCCCCAGGATGATCAAAGGCTCAAAAATGTTTAGTGGTAAGCGAGGGGACGAGGATGGAGGATGTATTAATTAAGCAAGGTTGTAAACCTTTATGAATTATATACTAGCTAGGGTTTATGTCCAAGAAGGGAAGAGGATAAAGGTCGGATTGAGAGTGGATTCAGAAACTCCACGTTGTATTCAGAAACTACGCCACTACGAAACTGGACGTCGGATTGGTCGCTGACGTGAAGGGGAGAGCTTCTGGTGGACATGTAGAAGACAATGGGGAATCACTTTGGAAACGGTCATGGGATTTTTTCTGTAAAGTACCCTCTGGTAATTTAACATAGCTATTGAAAATGACCATATATAGTGGATTTTCCCATTCAAATGGGCGATTTTCCATAGCTATGTTAAATTACCAGAGGGTAACATCTCGCAACTTCAGTGGGGACTTTCAGCCTCTCCAGGTACCACTCCACGGTCGCCTCTTTTTGCAGTTGCTTGGTGCCGTGGGATGGTAAGAGTTGGGACCGATGATCCGATGATCCAACCAACTTCTGTTGGTGTCCCCAGGTTAGTTCGTTTCAATTCATTTCAAAGTATCGGACCTTGCCCCTGCTTCGAAATTGTCATAATTGGGGGTTATAAACCATTTACGAACTGGGATGAGCCACTCAGCAGACATAATTTTGTGGTTATGCTACCTGGCTCACTGGGAAAGATTAGAAGAAATGATTATGGAAACCCCTATCAACTGGTAAATCAATGGGTGAAGGGTAAATGAATGTTTTGCCAAGTTTGAAGATAGTTTAGTTAGTTCAATGAAACGACTGAAGAGGACATATAGTTAGTTTAGTGAAACGACTGAAGAGGATTTTTGTTCATATACTTTAAGGCTGTCATTGTTTGCCTTATTTGCCTTATATTCTGTAAGGATGGTCCCATTGTTTGAGGCAAAGAGATATGGATATGTTGATGGTGTGATCTTTTGCCAGAAGTGGAAACACACACTACCCAACCAATATGTTGCAAGGTATCCAAGGGTAGCCATGATTTTAGAACATATTTGAAGATATTAAATATATTCAATGAGATGTTTGCTTGAAAGATAAAGGATAACTACATTTATTTTGCGGACATATGTAAATGCTGAAACGTCCTGTACTGCTGGTGAGATCTCTCATGTACTGACTCACTTTGGACATCCATGAAACCAACCACAGCTATTATGAAAGAGCCACAGGAACTAATGGGAAGCATATAAAAGAAACATAAAGAAACACTTCAAGAGATGTGGTAATGAAATGTGATGAATCGGAGGAATCACAGCCAGTAAAACTGCTATGTTCAGGAGCTTCCCCATTGGTTCTAAGGTGGCTGCACTATGTATCTTGGCTGCACAACAGCCCGACAGCTGCAAAAAGCTTCAGGGAAAACGGGGAAAACTGTCAACCTGCTGCAGGTTTCCAATCTTGTGCTTGAATGTGAACATCCGTTTCCGCAACGTGATCCAAGATCAATTGAAATGATCCCAGCTCACTGGTTCCGAATGATCCCACGACTGCCCGACTGCGCAGGTGTTTCCTCAGCAGTGCGCCTTCCCGCACAAGTCCGGCACCACGAACGCCCTGTCCCCTCTGGAGTTTCAGGGAGGCGGATGGGATGGGAAGGATAATTGCTGGTTGCTCACCACGAATCCTCAGTAGGTTATATCCCTGGCTTTCTGAGTCCAACAACACAGAGAATATAGGGTTTGACAAAAAAAATAGAAAAACAAAACCAGAGCAAACAAAAAAAAACAAACTAGAAAACCAAAACCAAGGAAAAAACAACAAAAAAACAAACAAAAACAAAAACTGCGGATTTTTTTTTCTTGTTTTTTTTCGTGTTTTGTTTTGTTTCTTCTGGTGATTCTTCCTGTCGATTTGTTTTTTTGGTGATTCTGTTTTTGTTTTGTTTTTTTGCTAAAATCCACTCTCTCTGTTCTACACGGGGTCACAACCCTGGCTTTGTTCGTGGGATAAGTAGGATTAATCGACTTATAACTAGGGTGAACTAACCTACTTAGGGGGATGAGCCACCAAGTATCCAAATGTTTTTACAGACATACAGCCATTGGATTGGAATAAGTTGATGTCACCATCCAAACATGAAGAGAAACACACAATATCTTGTTGGTTTCGAGTTTCAAATATGGCATGATTAGTGTTCCATTCAATGGAATCGTTCTGGATTGAAATGACCGACTAGGTTGGCTTTCGCTGCTTTATGTTCTGTGTTTTGTTGGGCTCACTTATAATGTCACCCCCGGATTGATGCTGAGTCATAAACCCCCAAAAACCCTGGCTAGTTGCTCTGAAAATATTATTGAAGGACAATAGTAAAATGATACACTCGAAGATAAACAACCCGGGTAAACACTTGTTGGGATTTCCTTTAGCACCCACTGCAATCTACATTTATAGTTGGTGAATTTGCCAGTAAAACAACTGGTTATCCTCCTGTGATCGAGCGTGGTAGGCTGGAAATCCTCTACGAATGGAGGGTTTAATTGGTCTAATGAACATCATCTATAAATTCATGGTGGATTTTCCGTTGCCATGTTTGATTGCCGGATGGTCATTTCAGCACTTTTTTCGGATCCGAAATCCTATTCAGCCGCCAGGTGAGTACGTCGCTTCCCAGAGCACCATGATGGTAGCTTGGTGCATCCAACAAGGGAAGCACACGCTGGGGCAACGAATTCTTCAACGCGTAATGAACTTTTATTACCCATAGGATCCATGTATGCTATATATGTTAACATTTACCATCAATATACCCCAAATGTTAGCATATATGTATACCATACATGGATGCTATATACAATATCATAAATCTATGGCCTATCTATGTTGTGATTATTGTCCAACATAGCGGACTCTTCGGAGGTACCAGTTAGCTAAGTTGGCTTATAGTTCGAGCAACTGTTGGGTTTATGGTAGATAATGTAGATATGTCAAACTAGATAATGGGGGTTATATAAATTATTAAATTATATAGTTTAACCAACAAACAGAACTGGGGGGAACCAGTTTGTACGAAGGCGGCGTTGTGAGGATTTCACCATGAAACAGGATCAGGATGAGCAACTATCCTTTTTAGGTTGAGACTTGCCGGGTATCCCATACATATAGTGGAAGTATAAGGTATATATCATATATAGCATCCTGGAAACGCGCTTCTATCTTTGGGGTTGCTAGATGCGACAACAGCAAACAATACATTGGAACCTTACATAACCCAATGATTTCCCAGAATTGCAGTGGCAGAGTAGAAAATGTTCACACCTGAGCCACTCCCCTTTTTGAAGTTTCGCTCATTGGCTTCACTGGTTTCGCTGCGGTCGAAATCCCATGCAGGGGAACCGTATGTGGGTAGTGTTTCTGTGGCTAGAAAAGCATTCATAGAGGTCTAGAGAAACCCTTTTATATAACCCTTTGATAATCTGCCAATGAAACCGCGCCCTTTTATACATTCATCGACGATTTTCTGTTCAACTTTTTAGTCTTTGAAGCTAATTTTCCATCCCAAATTTGTGCAGGAATACTGTGGGAAACCCAATAACAAACCATAATTACAAGAATAAAACATGTGCTGTCATTTCTTAGAAATTTGTTTAAAGAAAATCTATAGCTGCAGGAATTCCATTGGACTATCACTGGGTTTCCCTCAGACGCCTGGGTTAGTGCGCGATTAGGAACATTCCCGGGCCAACGAGAGCGAGGAGGAAGACGAAGAGCCACTAGGATGGTGGGGATGAGAAAAAAACATATACTTTGGGGGTATAACCAACAAGAATGGTGATTCAATATGATTTAATGGCATCTAAGTTGATATCATGGGATATAGAACAATCTATAACCATATTTGGAGGTGCAATTAGAGTTAGTTTTTCGGGGTACCATCCATATGGATCACCTACGTGAATTCAACTGACCCATCATGCGGACGGGTGTTTACCTGACATAGACTGTTTGCAGTCCTGAAGAACATGACAATATGGTAGCCAAAAGAAACCAAACACTTGCTTAGTCGAAGGACATTTAGAAGTCAAACTTCCGACAACATGGACAGATGGAAAAGCAGAGGTGGGAAGAGTCAGAGAAGAGAAGAGTCAGAAGAGAGAAGATCAGAAGAAAGAAGATGCAAGTGCACGAAAAGGTAGGAAAGTCGCGAAACGCCGTGTTTTTCCAATGATTTGTGACTCTGGAGAGTCGAAAAGTAGGCTCGCTAAAGCGGCGGGCGCGGAGAAATCTGGCCAGATGAGAGATGAAAAATTGCACGCCGTTGTGGCGCGAAGCACATTTCCAAGTCAAAATGCACAAAGCACATCAGCTTCGGAGCAGTTTTAGAAGTTGAGATGATGAAAAAGTGCACGCCGTTGTGGTGCGAAGCACATGTCGAAGTCAACCGTGCAAAAAACTGAGGGGGTTCGGAGCACTTTTGGACATTCAGATGTCGTTTTGCGTGGCAGGCGCAAGCTTGTAAAAAGTGAGCAAAACGTGAGGGTTTTGTAGCATTTCCAAAAACGATGGCACGCGTGGGACATTTGAAGAGGATCCGGGAAGATGAATTTCGCGTGGCAGGCGCAGTACAAACGACATGTTCATCAGAGATGTTAAGAGGTCAGGGCGCTGATTTCCTTAGAGGGGTTGCATTTTGGAGCATCAGATCTTCAGGTTTGCTAAGATGATTTTGCGTGACAGGTGCAGCACTTCGTATGACCTGGCCTCACTTTTTCGTGGCAGGCGCAGTACTTGTACTTTAGCAGGTGGAGTCGAAAAATCGCGAGACGCATTGGTACGAGGCCGGCAGCGCTGCAGTCAACTTTCCATGTTTGAAGGAAGTCTCGCAGAATTGCTTCGTTGTTGATGTTGTCAAGTTCAAAAATTAGAAGAAGTCTCGCAGAGTTGCTTCGTTTTGGATGTTGTCAAGTTCAAAAAATGAAGACGTCTCGCAGAATTGCTTCGTTTTTTAAGTTGTCAAGTTCAAAAAATTAGGAAGTCTCGCAGAATAGCTTCGTTTTCAAACTTGCAGAGAGATAGATAGATAGATAGATAGATAGATAGATAGATAGATAGATAGATAGATAGATAGATAGATAGATAGATAGATAGATAGATAGCAAGACAAATAGATAAACATATATATAGATAGACAGATAGATAGACATCTGAAACTGCACTACACCACACTAGAACTGCAACTATAACTACACTACCACTACAACTACAACGTCAACTACACCTCAACTACAAGAACTACAGCTACAACCAAAACTACAACTTCAACTACACTTCAACTACAACTACAACGTCAACTACAGTTACTACAACTACAATTACAAGTGCCACTGCAACTACAACTACGACTACAACTACAACTGCAACAACTACTACAACTACACTACAACTCCAAATACAACTACAGCTGCAACTACAACTACAACTCCTACATACACTACAACGGCAGTTACAACTATAACTACAACTCCTACAACTAATGCAACTTTTCCAATTTCTACAATTAAGACTATTACAACTTCAACTGCGCTACAACTACAGCTATCATGACAACTACAACTACAGCTGCAACATTACAACTTCAACAACATCAACCCCACTACAACTACAAGTACAACTACAACTACTGCACTACACCGCACTACATCCAGGAGCTGTGAGTGAGGTGACCACTGCAACCATTGCAACCACTCCAAAGAGCACAACTCCAACCACCTTTCGGTCCACTAGTGGATTCGCTCTGCCATCCATGCATCACAACAACTAACCTCTCCTATAGGGTCCTATCCTTGAAACTTCCGCCACCGCCTTGCGCGGTACTACTGGTAATATGGCAACGGAAAATATACATCATCTAGAGATGCAACTCCAAGCAGTGAATTTTCCATGTGGCGTCCTCTGCCATGTTCCTTTTGCTTGGTTCCCACGACGGAGCGATGTCCGCCCCAAATGATATTTGTTAGTTTTGCATTGGACACATTGTATTATGGACGGGTTTGGAAATTTCAGCCAACACCCTCCATGGTATCACATGGTTAATTGGACGGTTTATCATTGTTTTTAGATCTATATATTACAGATGATGGTGAGTTTTTGCGATGATTCCAGATTGTTTCGGAGAACAATCTACGTGGATATATATATATATTATATATATAATGATTTTTCTTGACATCATGTTTTATCATGATTTAATATTTTTCATGTTTTATGACAATTTATTGGTTGACATCCCCATTGATCAACCATTCTTTGCAGGACCAACCATGTCATTCACATCCCAATCACCCAATGTTTGTTGATCAAGTCCGTGATCAATCATGTATTGTTTTAAAATTGAAAATATGAATGCATTTATTGTTCGAAAATTCATCTATCTATACACAAATTTTCAGTAACTTTGCATGTGGGTATTAGATGAGCTACAATCGTTTGACAATCATTGATAAAATATGAATGAAAATCATGTGTTTCAATCAAATTCCCATATATTATCTTCCAGTACGCTTGTGATGTCCATGTTGTCTATCCGTTTCTTTCAATGCGACCATCTCCTCATCACTGAGGTGGATGGCGCTCTGGAGTGAAGAGGTATCGCTGCGGTAGCGCCACACATGGGTTTTAAAGGGGGGTTAAGCCTAATAGATGGGCCTTTAGCAGTGCGAAAATGATGGGTTTAGTACGAAATAGTGGCTTAGATCACCTGGTTTATACAATGGGGATTCGTAACACCCAGAAAAGAAACTAACTATACCACTCAACCATAACAACGCTATGGGATTTTGTTGTTCCATGGCCAAACTGGCAATGGCTCTGAATTTAATACCCAAATGAGCAGTGCCCGCAAACTAGGGGATACAACCATCATGAGTTTCAGGGCTCCATCATGCCAGTGTGTTACCTTTGGCCACGTGCTGGCGACGTGTTTTGTTTAGACATGCGTCCTATGGGCCAATTGGTTTCATTGCAGTACGTCATGCGTAGAAATATAGACCTGTATGTATAAGGCATAGAGGGGTAGATGATTGAGTTGTGTATTATCATATCCGAATTTTGGTTAGGTGTCCAGTACAATTGTATGCATAGATAAGTACCAGATTGAATGAAACCAAAATTTAGAGGTAAGCCCTATAGTCACCTGGGAAAAAGTCCAATGAAGAGGATGGCATTCATCTCAGCCGACATGCCAGGAAGAACTCATTGCTGGCTATGAAGGCAGGGTGCTCTGGAGGAAGTGTGCCCCCTCCCCCAAAGAAAGCGCCATTCTCTGGGGAAACCTTGGTTGAGTATGTGACTGCTTACTTTTTTGGGCCACAAATGGGCATGTAATCTATCATATATTGCATGTACACTGCATACTGTGTGTATATATATATACATGATACATTATATATAGATTTATAGATACTGTGTGTATTTACATATATACAGTGTTGACTGCACAAAAAATCACTACAGTACAGTAAGTCTTTTTGCAGTGTATCAATCATGTAGTGGGGTTTGCATGAGGATGAACCAACACCTACAGTATGGGGTCATCACCGATCGGTAAAGTGATAGGGATATGTCAGCAGATGTTCCGGGGCTCAAAAAGTCAAAATTTACTTCGGATGTTGAGGTGCCATTTTGTTGCAGCAGAACATGTCTGAGAGATTTTTCCAGGACCTCGAACCTTGATCCCAATCTCTTTGGCACGCTTTGGCAATCTGATCTGTTGTCACTTTCAGTACCAGTTTCACTTTTTTCAACATGGAAGGACAGCGCTTGCCAAAATCACCAGTTTCATGTCGCAAGAAAATCATCCACAAATGGCCCTGGCGATGACCAAAGGCTGCATTCCCACCAGCAGTTGCCAAGAGATTGAACATCTAGATACCCAAGTTTTCTGGTTGGTGGTTTGGAACATGTTTTTTTTTCCATAATATATGGGATAATCCTTCCCATTGACTATATCATATTTTTCAAGATGTTTAAAACCACCAACCAGCAAGTGTTTTTGCACGGTTTTTGCCTTGAAATAGAATCGAATTCTGGGACACCACAAAAAAATGATCAGCCAATCTGTCAATTGGGGACCGTGCAACATTGAGCCGTCCCTTTTTGAGGGTGATCACTTTTGAGCCATCCCCTGACCTCACTGTACTTGTAGACGATTGTTAGATAGTATCGAATATGATCAGGACAATTGCTTAGCCACATTTATCTCAGGTTCATGACATATCATGCTGTAATATGATATGGCCAGAACATGCCAGAACCAGAAATTGGGATCCAAAAAGCACACACCTGCTGTCCCTGCCACAAGAACTGTCGCCCATCGCCCCGGCATCTCCGTGCAGAACTTCATTGGACTGCGCGGGTCTCACAGAAGTGCGGCTTCCTTTGTTTCGGCCTCGCTGCTTTGCTCGGCGCGGCGCCCAGCGCTGCCAACCCACTGGGAATTTGCGCCGTTTCCAAAACTGGGGATGTTGAACACCTTGATCAAAACTGGGACTCAAAACAGAATTGTAACAAAATTGATGAACATGATAAATACATTTACACATAATGAACAAATACATGATATATATAATTTTATGGTGATGTGATATCGATAAAGTTATGGATGTTATGGGGATGACGACCAAAGGGATGACATGACAATCGGGAATCCAAAGGTGTTCAAAAATGCAAATAAATGCGGACTTGAGGACTTGACGTCGATGTTGACGGGGTAGTCTTGTTAGGAAAGATGTTGTTGAACTGTGCTTGGTGCAGGATGGGATACTGCAGCTGCTAAGGGTCAAATGGTCCAACCGTGCCAGGTGCCATTCGGCTGAATTGGAAGCCCAAAGCAGAGATTGAATTGCTCCCAAGCTATCGTGGAGGCAATGCTACCGTGAAAGGGTGGCTTTAACCTCTGCCGAGGCTGCAATGTTAAGAAACCATGACATCAGCTGCCAGAATTACCCATCACCAAAGGTTTTTAGTGCGGATGGCCATGGTGGAGTTTTACACAGCTTGAATCCATTGGACCATCCCCATGCCCCGCAGATTCTCTGTGGAACTGTGGAGTTTTTTGTAGGCAAAGCGCACTTTGTTTGATCATGGCAGTGGAGGCGCTGCGGATGTCGGAGTGACTAGTGTTGGATTCGATACCTTTTTAAGGAACAAACATGGTGTTTCATGGTGTTTCCATAAATGGGGTACCCAAAATGGATGGTTCATAAGGGAAACGCTCATATAAATGGATGATTTAGGGGTACCCCCATTTCAGGAAACCTCCATATACCCAAAATCAGGGCATACTGTAGTTATGTGCTCGTTGATGTATTCCCTCAAGCTGGTCGACTGTAGGAAGAATTCAACAATGGGGCGGTTCCCTGTGTTTCGACCTGCCCATCTCACAGTTTGTAGTGGATTGGTTATAGTGGAACCTAAGACCTGTGTTTCATGATATCATACAATCATTTATAAGCTATTTTGCTCTTTACCAGGGTACCAGGGTTTTGCCACATAGCCGCAACATCAAAAATTGTGCAGAATCATTGTGGTATACTGATCTGGAACACACAAGAAAGGTGGGGATGGAAACAAAGCTTAAGAGGACAAAATCATGTTCGGGGATCCGAATTTCTCAGGAAGCACCCATGTCATTCTCAGGACTCTTGATTTCCTAAATATAGATAAATATAGATGTTCTATTTCTCTGTGGTAAAATTCAATTGGAAATGCTGAAAGAATTCTGGATCAGATCTAGCCTGGTTCCTTGCTGCTTGAATTGTTTCCGACAGAGTCTGACCGATGATCGCATATAAAACCCAACAATTCAAGATGTAAGACATCCAAATAACAACAGCAATCGTGTAATACAATGGGTGTGTATATATGTGACTGTGAATATATATATATATACATATAATTATATATAATATACACATACCTACCTATCAAGCTTAGGATGTGTTACGAAGCACTATATCTTGCCTTGACACCAAGGTTGCTAACCATCCCTTTCGGTAGATTGGTAGATGATCGGCTCGGGTCGGCTTGGTTGGACTTCTGTCCCTGGTGCTGTTCAGCCCATCCATTATGCCCCATCTGTTCCAAATATGCGTGGGATAAGACAAAAAACCACAGACTGAAATTTGGAACATGTGGTTGACCTATGTATATATATATATATATGTCATTTCCTTAAAGCTGTTTTGGGTTTAGATGGATTTTGCCACACATCCCATTGAAAGGTCAACCCTTCAGCAGGGGGTCAACAAACACTGTTCTGCTGCGGGAGGCACCCTGAAGCTACGACGGAAGCTGCAAAAGTGGAGATGAAAGCATTACTGGTTGGTGGTTTGGAACATGTTTATTTTTCCCAATAGTTGGTATGATGATCCAATCTGACTTTCATATTTTCCAGAGGGGTAGGTCAACCACCAACCAGACTAGGTTTCTGAAACAAAACCCGGTTGGCCAAAAGTTGAGGCCCATGGGGTCACCGATGTTGGCTTAGAAACTCATGGCCTCATGACATGTGTTGGGTGATCAACTTTGACATGTTTGCCCATGCTCAAATGATGTCAGGGGCAATCTAGGTGGAAGACTTGGAAACAGAGAGAGAGGTGTGGAACATGTGACACTAAGCACTTCTTGGGTTATTGAATACACCTACTGTGGATGGTAGAAATCCTGCACCAGGCAGGGTAACTATTGGGAAGTATAAAACACTGTAAATCATGGGATTTATTCCATCCACAGAATGGCTCTTTACGCATTTCTTTGAGGAAGTTGTAAGATGTTGCAACACGATATCAGTATATCAGTTGTGCCTGGGATGATCCCTGTATGCAGACAAGACAGTTCATGGGGTTTTGACGAAGGTAAGACTCCAGCGGATTTTTTCCCTTCCAAAGGTCATTCGCAACTGAAGCGTTCTTCACTGATTCATATGTTGATCTCCACATTTGCGTGCCGGCAAGACGACCGGAAACAAGAGCTGTCAGATTTCCACGGTGAAGCGAGATATTTTTAGATGACTTGCGGCTGTGCGTCAGCTGAAAAAATTAGCTTTGGACCTTAGTGATGGAGGGAATCCAGGCTGGTTCTTGTGGTTCGCTTTCCTAGCCTCAGGAATGCTCTCTGTAGAAACTAATTATCAGTCTAACAAGTCTTATATTTTGTTTCCCACTTCTGTTTGGGATCAGATCTAGACTCACTTGTTAGACACTTTGGTTTTTGGATCCTCTCCTGCAGCGGTGCTTGGTAAGTGACACCGACGCTGTGAAGCTTACAGCAAAACAGAGCTGCAGAGGGTGGGTCAGAAGTATTTTGGCGGTGGAACTATAAGGACCTTTGAAACACAGACAATTCCAGATGCTGATTGGGAGATACCATGAATGAATTTCAGGCATCTCTAGAGGATTATATAATTAATGCTGGTTGGGAGAAGTACACAAGACTGTTAACGAACTTTTGGTGAAGTGCCAAACTTCCAACAGCGAATTGCAGGGTCATCCTTCTAACACTTGTAATTCCCATTTTTTAGTTCAGCATTCAGTAAATCTGTGTCTTCCTTGTTGATTGTTTATTACTTGGCGATGCAGTTTGGGTTATTACTGGATACTGGAGATATGGCCGTAGCGGCCTAGCAGCCCCATATCCCAACTTATTTGGGTTAAAATATGTGAAAAAACCCATGGAATTGCCAAGTTATAACCTTGACTGCACCTCCCAGTATGGGTACTGTATAGATAAGAATATATATACATATAAAAATGAATAATTTTAATACTAATAAATAAGAATATTTAGTAATATGTAATAATCATAATAGTGATAATAACTACAATGATGATAATGATAATAATGGTACTGATGATAATGACAATAATAATAATGAAGTAATAATACGATCAACTCCCACCATTTAATAAAACAGTAAACTGACAATGATAGTAGTAGTAGTAGTAGTAGTAGTAGTAGTAGTAGTAGTAGTAGTAGTAGTAGTACAATAATAATGTTAGCGATAATAATAGTAAAATATCCCATTATATCAAATCACATTTTTTGTTGGTTATATCACTTAGATCCCTAAGTATGCTTATTTTCTTCGCCAACCCTCAGCTGGATGTGCTGACTTTGATGAATTCCTAAGCGCCAAAGCCCGCAGGAAACGCCCGAAGAGGTGCGGCGCTGTGACCAGCTGAAAGTCTTGAGGCTGCAGAAGCACCCGCTATGTTATATCCTACCTATATATATATACATACATACACGGAGTTTAGAATATACCACATCTGGTACTATATATGAGCACATTTTGTCGAGTTCAATTTTCTAAGGATCGATGGTTTCCCATGTTTTCATAAGCCCCAAGGGATTTTTAGAAGGAAAAAGCTGCCCCTTCTGACTAATGTTCGTGGCTTGGTAGCTGTTTTTGGGCCGTGCTTTGGGTTCCATTTGAGAACGGGTTAAAGGCCGAGATTGGAAGCAAAAAAATGTCTGGTTGAATCAACAAGCGACCAGTATTTACCAACAATTAAATTAAGATCTGATATGATTCATAACCAACAACCACTGCCCCCAGCTTTCTTTGTGGAAAATTCCGCCGCTGCTCAGAGGCGGCAGTTGGAACACCAGATTCCGCTCGCGCTACCCGTGCATCAAAAGGCGACCAGGGAATGGTTTGGATTTCACTCACAAAATGTGGGGCAGTAGCCTCTGCAGGTAAATGAACATAGCTATGGAAAATCATTTTTTTGTTGGCTAATCGCGGTGAATCAATGTAAATCATCATTTCCATGGGCAATTTTCAGCGATTTTCCATGTCTATGTCAAACAATCACAGGGTATCAACAAAATGGTGCAAATATTGGGGAAGTGTAGTGTAATGCTAAGTCAAATGTTGCCGTTGTTGCGGCTTTCATGGGATATATTTCCCTAACCGGCTTGCGATCGGGCATCGAAGATACGGGGAAACATGGGGAAACCATCAATTCGGCCTTGAACTTTGATTTGAGTATGTTTTGGATTTGTCATCTATCCAGATCCCGGATTGGTCTACATTCCTGGAAATGCTCAAACCATGTCAACAAGCTGTTTCTGGTTGGTGCTTTGAAACATGAACTTTATGACTTTCCATTCAGTTGGGAATTTCATCATCCCAACTGACTTTCACTCCATGATTTTTCAGAGGGGTAGGTCAACCACCAACCAGCCTGGTCTGTCAAGTCAATTCAATGGATCCGTGGATCCAATGCCGACGTGTTTACTGCGGTTGACTTTTCATGATCCTGAAGCATGATGGATATCGTTTGCTCCAGAAACTGTTGATGCTTAAAACCCATGGGTAAAACCACGATAAATGGCTGTAAATGGTTGATTTCACCAACATCAACTGGCTTTTCTGAAGGAAATATCACCGTTTCGTTATTACCATCACCGTCGAAGATTCAACAGCAGCTTGACTGTAGGAAGCTGCTGAAACATGCTGAAACAGTAGGAACTCTTTGTCCAACTGGAGGACCGGGAATCTGGGAAATGAGGAAAGAGAACCAGATAAAAGCAGCAAAATATGCGAGTAGTTCAGATGAGCACAGGACAAAACCATCGAACATGGGAAGTTAAACAACAAAAATGGTAGTGGTATAGTGGAACATAACGGAACATGATAAGGATTATTCATCTGGAGAAATGACGATGTGACTTTGATAATCTTTGATATAACCATGACATGATGGGTATTTGACCTACACACGCTGGCATTTAACCATCTAACATAGGTATATTCAATGATAGAACTGGCGGTTTCAAAGATGCGTTGCTTTCCCAGAAGACATGTGATGATGATCCCAATGTACGGCTGTCCCCACTTGGTCCCCAGGCCAACAAGCATTGGGGATGCTCCCAGCTGGCCAATATTCTATGATCATGGCTGCCAGCAAGATTGTTTAACCTCATGTTTCATGTTTTTTTGCGCGAGAGGTCTCAATTTGGGTTGCCGACTTTATGCATTAGGAACTTACGGGTTCAAGCTTAAGGGTTTGCATAATCATGTTGAATCACGGTGTCTACCTAAATCAAGGCAGCAAGAGCTGTTTATTTCACTGTCGGTATCATACGAAGGAAAGTCGTTTTAGAATGTTTTAGATATATATAAGTAGAACCCGCGCAAGGCGGTTGGCGGAAGTTTCCAGGTTTAAGAAGTGTAACGCTATAGTATCCAAAAACAAGGTTTGCCTATAGGAGCTGCGGCAGACTTCCATGCTCTTTTCCGGGAATTCTGACCTCTTGTTGCAAATTGTGAAACCACATCTCAACTCTTCCAACGACTTCTCACCTCTCGTCATCTCTTTTCAACGATTCTCATTTCTGTGCACATCTTCTTGACTCTCCTCAACTCTCTTTTCATCTCTCTCTTCTCCTCCCAACGCCTTTGAACTCGTGTTGGCTCACCTCACCTCAGTTCGTTCCACCTGTCCATTTTCTTCTCAGCCCAGTCGAAGAAACAGTACTGCTCAGGCCAGTTGAATTGCCTGTCCATTCGATCATGGTTTTCAACATTCGATTGCGTTTTCATTCTTGTGTCATGTACTATCGTTCAATCCTACTGGACTGTTGACTGTGGGTCCAACGTTCAAGCACGCTTGGGCCGCAGCATTTTTTCCACGCACGCATGTCAACATGAGCGTGAGCAGAACAGCTGCACGCTCCCCGCTGAATACCTGACAGCCAGATCACATCTATGCAGATCTGGAACAAACGTGCCACTTAAACATGCCAAAATGACTTAAACATGCCAAAATGAGCGTGAGCGGAACAGCTGCACGCTCCCCGCTGAATACCTGACAGCCAGATCACGTCTATGCAGTTTTCGAACAAACATGCCACTTAAACATGCCAACATGAGCGTGAGCTGAACAGCTGCACGCTCCCCGCTGAATACCTGACAGCCAGATCAAGTCTATGCAGATTTGCAACAAGCATGTCACTTAAACATGCACACATGGGCGTGAGCGGAACAGCTGCACGCTCCCCGCTGAATACCTGACAGCCAGATCAAATGCATCTATGCAGGTTTCGACCAAAAATGCCAAAATGAGCATGAACAGAACAGCTGCGCGCTCCTCGCCCTGACAGCCAGATCACGTCCCTGACAGCCAGATCGCGTCTGTGCGGGTTTCGAGCAAACATGCCACTTAAACATGCCAACATGGATGTGAGCAGAACAGCTGCACCGTCCCTGCCCTGACAGCCAGATCACGTGTGTGCGGGTTTCGAGCAAACATGCCAACACATGGGCGTGAGCAGTAACAGCTGCACCCTCCTGCTGAATAGCTGACAGCCAGATCACATCTATGCAGTTT